CACCTAAGATCAGGAAGGTTCAAGAACAGGTCTGGGCCAACATGGGTGGAAAAACCCCTCTCTACTAAAAATACAAAAAGTAGCCGGGTGTGGTGGCGGGTTCCCTTGTATCCCACCGGTACTTAGGGAGGGCTGAGGACATGAAGAATCACTTTGACCTGGGAGGCGGAGGTCTGCAATGAGTCAAAGATTCATGCCATTGCACTCCAGGGCCCAAGGTGACAGGAGGCCCAGCTTTGTTGCCCACTTGCACTCCGGCCCCTGGGTGGGCAGAGTAAGAGTCTGTCCTCAAAAAAAAAAAAAAAAAAAATTAGGCCGGGGCACAGTCGGGCAACCCGCCTGTAGTCATTATCTATTCTGAAGGTTTGAAAGTGGGAGGAGATTTGCTTGAACCCGGAGTGGAGGCTGCGTGGAGCCCTGATCATGCCACTGCCACCTCCAGCCCGTGGCGAACAGAGCGAAGCTCTATCTCTAAATAAAAGAAAAAAGAAAACCTCCAAATAAACAGACCACAGTATAGATCGCTATAAGGGGCATTTATTTAGGGAAGGGTGACTACATTCCTTCTTCATTGTCTCATTCCTGTTAGGATTTGCTGTATATTTTGGATATGTGAATCCGACACAGCTTGGAGAACGATCAACAGCCACCTGCGTCAAGCTCCAGGACTCTTCCATGAAAACATCCTAGTCCCTCGCTGAAATAGTTTAAACAGAAAAGGGATGGGCCAGTCACTGGAGGGTGTCCTGTGCATGAAGGGAGAGGTGTGAAGCTCTGCAGAGTGTGGAAGGTGGGATGCATTTAAAGCCCCATGTGGCATTTGCAGTGAGCAATGCTTTTTAAAAACTTTATTTTGTTTCCCGTCTCAGCCTCCCAAAGTGCTGGGATTACAGGCGTGAGCCACTGCGCCCGGCCTAATTTTTGTATTTTTAGTAGAACCGGGGTTTCACCATGTTGGTCAGGCTGTTCCCAAACTCCTGGCCTCAAGCGATCCACCCGCCTCGGCCTCCCTAAGTGCTGGGATTACAAGTGTGAGCCACCTCACCTGGCTCAATGCCTGTTCTGAGTGGGTATCCCATTGGGTGTTCTGGAAGAAACAGGTTTTGGGAAGTACCGATAGGTGGGGGCTGGAGGGGATGTCCATGAACACTCCATTGGTTTTAGCAACTGCCCTTTTTTCCCCTGGTCCTGTAGAGTAGTTAGAGCTTGAGGCCTGCAGAGTCCACCGACTCAGGAGGGTGGTGTGGGGACATAAGGTCACCTACCTTGAAGTAGAGAGGAGTGTTGCTCTGGGGCTGTCTCCAGATGGTGAAAGTGAATCCTGCAACGAGCACCAGCAGTAGCATAGCAGCTGTGACGTAGATCGGCTCTCCAGAGAACAGGCGTTTGGGCCAATGGGCCAGTACCAGGCAGAGCATGGTCAGCAGGACAACTGGAAAAGGGTCAAGGTTGGGGAGAGCAGGTTCAACTCCAGAAGCTAAATAAGTGAAGATCTTGGGCCACGTTCTATCTCCCAAACCACACATATATATATATGTGTGTGTGTGTGTGTGTGTGTGTGTCCCAGCCTCCCCAGTAAGGACTACAGGCACGTGCCAGCACAACCAAATAATGTTTATTTTTTTAGATGTATTTTCACTCTTGTTGCCCAGGATGGAGTGCAGTGGCACAATCTTGGCTCACTGCAACCTTTGTCTCCTGGGTTCAAGTGATTCTCCTGCCTCAGCCTCCCGAGTAGCTGGGATCACAGGTACCTGCCACCACGCCCAGCTAATTTTTGTGTTTTTAGTAGAGACGGGGTTTCGCCATGTTGGCCAGGCTGGTCTCAACTCCTGACCTCAAGTGATCCACTCACCTCAGACTTCCAAAGCGAGCCACCACACCCAGCCTAAACTTTTTATTTCATATATGTATTTGTGTGTGCATATATGTGTGTGTGTGTGTGTATATATATATATATGTGTGTGTGTGTGTGTGTGTGTTTTTGTTTTTTTGAGACGGGATCTCACCCCATTGCCCAGACTACAGTGCAGTGGTGTGATCTTGACTCACTGAAGCCTTGACTGCCCAGGCTCAAGCAGTCACTCCTCCGCAGCCTCCCAAAGTGCTGGGATTCCATGTGTAAGCCACCGTGCCCGGCCAAAAGTGCCCCTACTAAGAAGGGCCACCATAAATTCAAGACTCCTCTCAACTACCAAAGCCACACACTCCCTACCCGGCCCGCTGCCCCTTCCTATCAGGTTCAAAACACCCCGCAGAGAAACCCCACTGCTCACCAAGCAGAAAGGCACATCCATAGACGGTGCGGCCAGATCTCGGGGTGGGGATGGCGCTGACAGGGCTCCACAGACTCGTCGGAGTGCTGGACGCTTCAGGAACACGTTCTGGGGATTTCGCTTTGGGTACAGAATTCATCTCAACTACTTCCTCCTTAGGCTTCTCATTCTTGCTGAAATTCTGGTCTGGCTGGTACCTGAATCAGAGAGAGGAGGGCAAGACTAACCCATGTCCCTGTTCATCCAACATCAGAGAGCCTAATACACCCACGGTAGCTCCCACGTATCCGAGTTTCATCTACCCGTGTCCACTACAGTCCAAAAATAATACATGGAAAAGTCCAGCAGTAATTCGTAAGTTTTCTTTTCTTTTCTTTTTTACTCACTCTGTCACCCAGGCTGGAGTGCAGTGGCACAATCTCGGCTCCCTGCAACCACCTCCGCCTCCCAGGTTCAAGCAATCTCCTGCCTCAGCCTCCTGAGTAGCTGGGATTATGGGAGACCACCACCACGCCCAGCTAATTTTTGTATTTTTAGTAGATACCACGTTTCACCATGTTGGCCAAGCTGGTCTCAAACTCCTGACCTCAAGTGAGCCACCTGTCTCGGCCTCCCAAAGTTCAGGGATTACAGGCGAGAGCCATCGCGCCCCACCGTAATTCGTAAGTTTTCAATTGTGTGCAGCTTCAAGTAGCGGCATTCCACGCTCCCCACGCCCAGGATGTAAATCATCCTTTTGTCCAGTGTGTCCCTGCTGTGAACGCTACCGGCCGTGTTAAATCACTTCAGACATCTGAGTTATGGATGGGAAAATGATCATATATAGGGACTGGTACTATCTGCGGTTTCGGGCATGGGCTGAGGGTCTTGGAACGTGTCCTCCGTGGATAAGCAGGGGCTACTGTACTCCTCCCACTCCTGTATGTGTAGCAATGCACCGCGGGCCAGGAGGCAGGCAGAGGAGGGCTGGGAACCCCATCAATCTTCACGTATCTAGGACCCCAGTCTCACCTGAGGACAAGAACAGAGAAGGCCACCAAGGAGTAAGCAAGCATGGTCCCGATGGATGAGAGGTTCACAAGGTCACTGAGCTCAAACAGGAAAGCCATGATTGCTACAGTCAGGGCACAAAACAGGGTAAGTTCCAGTGTTCTACAGCATTAGAGGGTGACTGTCATTAACAACTTATAAGAGCTGGAAAAGCACTTTGGGAGGCTGAGGCGGGCAGATCACCTGAGGTCAGGAGTTCAAGACCATCCTGGCCAACATGGTGAAACCTCATCTCTAATACAAAAATTAGCCGGGCGTGGTAGCACGTGCCTGTAATCCCAGCTACTCCAGAGGCTCAGGCAGGAGAATTGCGTGGACCTGGGAGGCGGAG